GTGTCCGCTTAATATGGGGTCCGCTTAATACAGGTTTCACTGGAATCATAATTTGTGCCTCATACTGTTGAACCTTCTCATGTACTTTCAAATGAAACTTATTTTAAAGGTGGTTATCAGATTACAGTGGACAGCAAAAAGGTGAAAACACCAGCAGGAAAACCTTTAGTTGTTCCCAACAAAACCCTGGCCATGGCAGTATCTGTAGAGTGGAATTCACAGGTTGAAACCATCAAACCAGCAAACATGCATCTGGTATGTACATAAGTTACATTGAAACAGAAATGTGTATGTTATATTTGTATACACTGACTTGGTTAAAAAAAAAGGGGATATTTCCAGAAAGGAAGGAGGCAATCTCCAGACCATGTACATACATGTGGGATGTGTGCCTGGACCCTAATACCTTACTCAGTCATCCTAACTTATTATTGTTGTGACAGTCATTGTGATGCTTTAGACATTTTTTGAGCTGCTTCATGAGGATTTTTACTATTTATATACAGTGACCTGATTAGGCTAATGAGCCCATGTAATCTGGAGTCCTGCGCACTGACCATTACAAGTGTAGGTTGCTGCAGAGCACTCATGAGGAGTTGTAACCAGTTGTTCTAATAAAAGAAATTTATTGTTCCTTTTTGCTCTACTGTTTGCTGAAGAGTATAATAGTGATTTTGCTCTCATGGAACCTGGTAAAACAATGTTAAAGTACCCAAACAAATTGCATAATGAATTCACTGCATAATAGCCTTTTTTGTGCTGCATACTTTGCACTAAAAATGCCACATAATTTCCTGATTATTTTGGAATCCATGCTCTATCGAAAGCTTTCATAACACCTGTTACAGCTGAGTATGTTCAATGAGCCCTTAAAGTTACGGATAAAGTTGCCTGTAGTTGGTATAATCCACCTACAAAGTCGTTAACGATGTGAAGATCAACGCAACAGGTGACTCGCTGTGACTGTAGAACAAGATACATACATTTTCAAGTGTGTAGGGTGGCTTACTTTGGAGAGGGACAATTTGTCTAATTTAACACCCGGCTTTGTTTACATTCTTGACTAACTTTTATGAGTTGGGCTAATTATTGAATTTTTATCTATTTCATCTGTAGACATCACTTAGCAACACTGTGATTGACAATCCTAGAACCAGAACCCATGATGAGCAAGTCTTGCATATTTTAGAATTTTTGAGCTCAGATGGTATATGGTATGTTAACAATAGCTTGGCAATTTTTATTACTTAACAAGTTTGAACTTTTTAAACATTTGCAATTTTCAACGGGTGATTCTTTAGCGTGTTAAATAATCATATTTGACACAGTAGATTGTGTCTAGCACCTATTGTTGTTTGATAATTTATCAGCTGTCACTGTTCTATGTTTTAGAGCAAATGATTTCAATGTAACATCCACAACCTTTACCTGACTTGTGGTCATTGATTCAAGCAAAAAGATTTTTGTCTCTGCTTTGAGCAATATATTAGGGTTTAACTCAGTTTTAGGTGTCTAACCCAGTAATCCATTTGAAATCTTGCAGCTTTTATGCAGATGAACCTGAAGAGTTGGTAAACCTACAGGAAAAAGAATGGCAACCTATTTTGCAATGGTTTAATAACAAGTATGGCATCTTGCATTTCATTGTTATGTTAACCTTACATGCATGTACATGTCTGTACATGTATCTTTAATAACTTGTGATTCTCAACTTCATACCTTTCATCCAAAACTGGGGTTAAAAAGTTTGAAGTCCGATTACACTGACTATTAAGCCTGGCTAGTTAATTGGACTGGTGCTTTGCTCTAGCTTCCATTCCATGAAGTGACTGGGAGTATGTCTACTCCATTGGTCAAGCCATTAGGTTACTCTTCGTCTCCTAGACTGGAGAGAACATATTTAAATCAGCAGTTTGTAGATTGCAGTCCTATCATATTTGTGTTAATTGTTACTCCTTCTTGTTTTGTGCAGTTATGGAGTGTCTGTTGAGCCAAGTCATGGTCTCCTTACAGTGGCCATACCAGATGATGCCGCAGAACGACTCAAGACCCATCTGACACCTCTAGACACCTGGTCCCTCACTGGTCAGTACTTCATCCCTTCATTAGCTGATTCAATGTTTGATTTTTAAGAATGTTGGACACGTTTTTCCTGTAAATTAGTGCAATGATTTGTACATGTAGAAAAGTGATGAGAATATAAAATTTTAGAGAACTGTTCTATACTATGTTTTTAAAGGGCAGGAAAAACCCAGGTCCGATTGCCAGGGGCAAGTAAATTTAGCTCTTTGGCAAGTGAAAATAGACTCAGCAGTCTTGTGAGTCTGCATGAGAATGTGTGCTTGATGAATGATAATTTCCAGTCAGAAGCTACTTCAAAACTTGAGACTTCCAGATTAGTTAATCACTGAGTTGAAAGCATGGATTAGTTAGGAATCCAAGCATACTTTGTTTGCATTCGTCCTCTGATTGTCATACTGGCTGCCACGTCGGCAAGTAGCATTTTAGTGGGGGAAAATGAAAACTGAAATTTACTAGCCCACTGAGCAAGTAGATTTAATTACTGACAAATTACTGATAAATGACATTCTGTAGAATCCCCACCTCCATGCCATTGTTATGGCCAGCTTGTTTTCAGCCCAAATGAGGGAGGCAGCATGGCCAAGTGGTTAGGCTGCGGCCTTAAATTCTGGATGTCGCAGGTTCTAATCCCGCTCTGACCACTGAGCTGGAGTTGTTTCACGGTAGACCCTAGGTCAACTTCTCAGTCATGCTTGTAAATGGCCAACTGGTCCTTGAAAGGGATAGAGGTAATCCTTATTTTAGACAGGCATGGTTGGCCTAATTGGCTAGTGCACAGGACTCCAGATTGAGTGTTTGGGGTTTGAGTCCTGGCTGGGTTTGCTGCATCACCCTCTTGGTCAAGGTTCTTTACTCTGACAGTGCTTCTCTCCTGGTGGTGGGCAGGGCATCACACAAATATCCACCAGTACCCATGTTTACCCCTGCGACAGCCTGACAACATGTTGGGGGGGGGGGGTAACCCTGTGATGGACTAGCATCTATCCAAGTTAAGAGCTAAGTGCTATGAGTCAGCTGGGCTTAAAAATCTTTGTATTCTTGTGAGTCTTTTGTGATCTACACTTGACAGCCTGCGTAAAGCGTTGCTGCCTTGTAAATTACGGTTGGTTGGATGAAGGGTATCATAAAGTTTTATGTTAACTCACTTTTGCTTGGTTCAAATCATTCTTTACACAACTAGTATTTATGAAAGTTGTTCCATTTTACCACAGGTCTTGAGTTTGCAGTGGAAACATTAAAGTCTTTCATTCTATCAATGGCACTCATAGACAATCATCTCACAGTCGAAACAGCTGTTCATCTTTCCAGACTGGAGCTGGAATTTCAGGTAGGTTGTTGCTTTCTGAAGATAGATTTTATATTGCTAGCTATATGCATGCTATATACGGCTTGAGCCAATTGAGAACACTGTTCCTTGGGCTAAGGTCAGAAAAGAGGTAACTTGGGGCTGGAACAACAGAAAACGAGTGAAAAGTGAGCATGACTTGTGTATTTACTGTGTATCATGGTGCTGTTTGAGAATGATTTATGTCACATATTTTCTTTACAAAGTCATAACTTGCAGTATAACTGCAAAAATACGAGACAGCGAACAGTTTTTAGATTGACTAAGAGCAAGGAAAATTGTGATCCAGAATTCTGCGTTGTGTTTTTTTTTCGTTAGCACACATGTAGCCCAAGCTCCTTTTGGAACCGTCAACATGACATTGCGTAACAGCGTTATTATGAGAGTTTGTATGGGAGTATAACTATCGTACAAAATAGTTCAAAATAAGGGGGAAAA